CTTTTGCCTCTGGGCTTTTATGTCTCTCTTCTGTATATCTTACTTTCACTCTTACTCTGTGGCTGGGTGGCTGGGTGGCTGGGTGACTGACACTTGATGTCGTCCTCTCCCTGATCTCTCATTCCTTTCTCATTTCTCCTTCTATTTATCCTCTCCACCTGCCAGCCACGCCCCTCCTTGCTCCTGCCTTGCTATTGGCTGTTCAGCTCTTTATTAGGACCACCAGGTATTTTAGACACACAGTAACACAGCTTTGCAGAGTTAAACAAATGCAGCATAAACAAAAGTCACACACCATAAAATAATATTCTACCACAGGATCCAACACCCTTTTTCTGGCTTCCACAAGCACCAAGCACACAGGTGCTACACAAACATATATGCAGGCAAAACACCCATGCACATAAAATAAATGTAAGATTTTTTAAATCTATCTTTTTGTTGACTTTAATAACTTAATTTATTATTTTGTTGATAAATAATAAAAAAATCGGTACCTTCAAAATATGTGCCACCTTACAGTAAAATGATAAAATGTATTCCAAGTAAATGAAACCAGGATGTCACCATCCTAATATGTAACAAAACAGACTTCAAACTAAAACTATTCAGAAGAAATAAATACGGACCCTTCATTCTGATCAAAAGAACAATGAACTAAAATGGCATTGCAATCTTAAGTCTACCTGCATCAAACTCTGGCAACCCCAATTCATAAAAAGTGTACTACTGGACTTCAAAACACAGACTAAGACCAACTTACTAAATGATTTCAAATACTCCACTTTCTCCAATACACAGATTACCTGAACAAAATTTAACAGGATAAAAACAGAATTAAGTGATTTTACACATCAAACAGACTTAGCAGATATCTGCTAAGTACTGTCTGTACTCAAGCAACAAAGCAACACACACTCTACTCAACAACCCCCGAAGATCCTTCAAAAAGGACCTCATTGGGGCACAAAGTAAAGCTCAACAAACACAAAAAAAATTAAGTAACTCCACACATCCTGCAATACAATAAGGTGTAACATCAACAACTCATGAAGATTAAAAAAACACATTACCGAACAATGAGTGTGTCAAAGAAAGTAAAGTACCGCAGAAACTAGACACAAATTAAATCACAACCCAACAAAACCTCGGAAAATTCGAGCACTCGTGACTACTGTTGTCTGATATTTGACAAAGACGGCATCTTCAATAAATGACTGGAAAAAGTGGGTTTCCACATTTAAAAGAATGAATTTAGACCAAAGTCTTTCAACCTGTGCAAAAATAAAGTGTAGCATGATAAAAGAAAGACCCAGAGACAGATATTGGAGTTCCAGCTTCAAGCTGAAGCTCAGAAAAGCCAGCCACCAACTCTTACCTCTACCTGAGCTCAGAACAAAGGGGTGATCCTCAGACTGCTCCCAAACTCACTGCTCCTCAGATTCACTCAGACTGCTATGCTCTCCTCAACACAACTAGAGACTAACTCTCAGACTGAATGCTAGCTCTGAGACCCTGCTCCTGTCTTATATACCTCCCTAATGCTGGGATTAAAGACGTGTGGTCCCAGGTGCAGAGATCAACTTTGTGTGAGCTGTTACTTTTAGATTATATGCAGAGAGTGAGAGACCTTGGGACACTCAGTCCTAAATGGGATGTGTCCAACAAATCCCTCAGGGCTCAGGGAACTGATGGGGGTTGTCCTTCTGTATATATGTCTCTCTTATTGGTTGATGAATAAAACACTGTTTTGCTGATAGAGGCAGGAAGATAGGCAGGGCTAGGAGACGAGGAGAATTCTGGGAAAGGTGGGCAAAGAGAGTCACCATGCAGAGACCAGGAAGAGTCACCATGTTGTGGAGGAAGGAGTAACAGGTCCAGAACCTTCTCCGGTAAGATAGGATCGTATGTAAATACTTAGATTAACAGAAATGCATTAATAATTAAGACAGGGCTAGTCAATTAGACACCCTAGTCATCAGCCAACAGTTTAATAGTTAATACAGCATCTATGTGCTTATTTGGGGCTAAGAAAGGCCACGGGACCAGGTAGGACAAGAAACCTCCACAACAGGGAGCCATGAAGAAGAGGATGCAGAAAGAGTGTGAGAGCCAGAAGAGATGGAGGACACCAGAAGAACAAGGCCCTCTGAATCAGCAAGATCTCCACATGTAGGAATCACAGGACCTGCACTAGTCTGCATCAGATGGGGGCCTAGAGGTAAAGTGAGGAGTGGACACATGCCCCAGCCCTGCCCCAGACGCAATCTCCAACTGATAACCACTTGTAGATCAACGTTTAGTTTCCTCCAAGGGAAGCTCACTGGATGAACTACTCTCAAGGGTAGGCAGCAAGCCCAACAGTGGATGGCCAACAGCAAATGAACTCAAAGGCATTCCTTGTCTCACAATGTCATGTCAGGGCTCTTCCTTTTAAAAATTTATATTATTCGATTTTTATTTGTGTGCAAACAAGTGGGTGTCTGTTTCTTGTGCCTTTTCTTATGTTGTTGTTTTTTTCAATGCCAATGTGTTACTCTTTGTTTTATTCTATTTTATTTCATTATTATAATGCATTAGAGATCTGCTTTCTGTGGAGAGACAGAAAGGAAATAGATCTGGATGGGAGGGAAAATGAGAAGGAACTAGGAGGAATAGAGAGAGAGAAAACCATAGTAAGGATGTATTATATGAGGAAAATGAACTGTTTTCAATAAAAAGAAAAAGAAGACCTTAAACATTAAAAAGAAGAAGAAAATTTAGTGATAAGATTAGCAAATCCACTCTTAGGAGAGTTGAACTGATCTTTGTAAAATTGCTGCCACACAGGTTGCTTCCCAATGAAATGTATTATATTGTTTTAAATAAAGATTTCATTTTTTCAGTTACTTATTGGCAAAGTGGCCGGCTCAATTATGATGCAGGAAATGTGATTTTTCATCTTATTTTTGGCTTACATATTTAAGTCTCATTTATGAAATTATGTCCCAAGTTAACTCTTCCATGCATTTAATTAAGGGCCGGTTATCCTTGAAGGTTTTCTTCCAATAAAAGCCTCTGGGCAAATTTCTTCTAAATCTATACTGTCTCTTCCTGATTCTGAAATGAAGTCTGACATAAGCAATGGGGGCTTTTGAGAGCAGATTATAGTAAACCATTTTCATAATGCCTCTATACTGTTATACTTATAATTAATTTTAAGAACCAAAGTTCGTCTGTTAATAACAGCACTTTCAACTTATTAAACAGAAAATTACAAAGGACTATAGATACTAAATGACACTGTGCAGGGAGTGATGGTCCCAGACCTTAATATTCATATTGCTACTAGGGTGATCAACACCCAGCTTTTAGCAATATCAACAAAGATTTTAAGTAGCTCAACACACCTTCAAGCTTGATACATTCCAGATTGCACAATCTTTTGATCTTTATTGATTTATTCATGAAGGCATTTTTAATGAAAGTCTGCTAAAGTATCTTTGAAAGAAAAAAAATTCCAACGTTAAGTGCCTACGTGACGGCAACTGATGGCACCAAGCCCTGGTCTACAGTTAATGTCACTGGCTAAGAGAAGGCTTCATTTATCATGACCTCTCTGGCCACCTGTTCTAGAAAGGATGAAATTTAAGGTTAGAAAGTGAGAATTCATAAGTAACACTCCCCATGCAAACCTTTTCATTGACATACTCAATTACACATTTTAAGATTTCTTCCCAACTTTGGCCTACCTTCTCAAGCATCTGACTGGCAACCAGGAACTCCCCATTTGGGTTGGACTTTTCTACTTCCTGCCTATTCACTTCAAAAACACATTTTCTATATCACAATGCTCTCACTATCATGAAAATAATCATGTCACTTCCCCTGGGCACCTAAGGCTTTCTAAGTTTCCCAGTTCAGATCACAAATCTTTATTTAAAATTGCACGTCAACAAATCCTCCCCACAATTTCTTAAAAGTAAATCCATAACATAAAATAAATGAAGCTACATCTTAAAACCTTTCAAAACATAGTGGAGCCAATATCATCATGAGCTTCATTTTAATTCAAATTGAATTTTATTCTGAATTACTGCATTTATTTTATTTACTAAGTATAATTCTAAAAATCAGCTTTGTGATTTAGTTATATATATGTAAACATGCAAATTACTTGCATATATTGACATTATTATATTTACCAGACAAGAAGACTAACAGACCTATATCCTACATTGAGCAGAAATTGTAAATTAGCCATGTAAGCTAATTTTTTTTCATTTTAATCATAGGGACAAGAGCTAATGCCTGATAAGAGAGAAAACAAATTAAACTATTTTATTACTGTAATAAGGAATTTTACATAAAGGACTAAAATAAGAAAAAGGTCATCAATCTTTCAGTATGCCTTACAATTTCATATCTCACTAATTTTATGTGTCAACATGCTGTTTGAGTTAGGGATGAATTCTGAGTTTATCTGGCTGGCCCTTAAACATCAATTAATATCTCCTACTTTACTATTTACCAGTCTTGGATTCACTTTTATTATATAAAACCTGGGTTTTGTGAAAAATCACATGGTGTTACCACAAAAAAAAACTCAAGATAAATATTTCTTTCATTCATTCTTTAAAAATAAACCTATGATTATCCGGGTAAAAATCAATGAGGTTTTATGCTGTCTCTTTTTCCCTACAGGATCTAGTAAATAAATGTGTTTCCACTGAGGTATTATGATGGGTGGCTATCATAGAAAACTGGAAGAACTCTTTCTATAGAAATATACATTTCAATGGATTATTTCAACAATACAACAGTTTCTCTTGTTCATCTTTAATATGCACTCAGGAAGGCTCCATACATAATTTATAATGGCTAGAAAAACAAACTTTATTTTATACCAGAATGAGACACAATTACAAAGAAATAAGCCTAGCCCAGTTTACCGATGTTGCTATCACAAGGAAATGGCATAATAGGGCTGGTCATTAGTGCCAGAACTCAGATCCATCTACCTTGAAAAGCAGCTGCATTTCGAGATATTAGCAACTTTAATGTTGAGCTGTACGTCTGAAGCACCTGCTGCAAATCTTGCCGAGCTGCAATCTGGTACCTCTCCTCCATCTTCCTGGTACAGCAGGTTGGGTTTTTGGACACACAAACCTGAAGATCAGGTCCTGGAAAACAAATGGTATTTTCCATAATGACTATCAGTCCATTTAAGAAACATAACATGGCAAACGTTATGACCAATCCCACATGCAAGAGGTCCGTATACAGTGTGGGAGATTGAATCTCCACTGCATTTGCTATCAGAAAATTTGCCTATCGTCGTACATTGAGTCCCTGTGTCCCTGGGATGCCTAACGATTCGTACCATATTATTCCATAAAGGCATTCCACTTTGGACTAAATGTTTGAGCAAAGAGTTGGTAGTTTAGGCTCCCTGGATTTTATGAAAAGCACGCTGCAAGTTTGTTCTAATTGTCTACTTGTGGTTTTTCTTTTTGACAAACAGTGTTCCGAGCACCCACATTTAGCTCTGCATTAACTCATTACGGAAAGGAACGAACATAAAATACGTTCACATGGATACACATACACACATACACACACACATACACACAAACATACATACATACACACACATACATACACATTACACACATACACACATACATACACATTACACACACACATACATACATACATACACACATACACATACATACACACATGCATACATACATACACACACACACACACACACACACACACACACACTGTGCCGATGGAACAGCCGCCTTTCAAGCCTTTCCCCCCACATTCACAGAGATAGTCCGAGAGCTCTTTACTAAAGTTGTTCTTGAAAAAGCCAAAACATGTTAAGTTGCTCTATTCTTTCTGCCAGCATGGGGTACCAACAACTCTAACAATATTGGCTTTAGTTTGCTGAAGTTAAACAACAAGTGATGATATTTGAGCACTTGACAAAGCTAAGAAACATCAAATATTTATAGATATCTCAGTTGGTAATCAGTTGGCGTTCTTTCATTTATCTTACCTAAAGTTTATATGTTATACAAAAGCAAATTCAATTTCAAATAGTAAAATTGATTGAAACAAGGCAAAGCTATCTGCTCAGGGTTTTTTTTTCCTAAATGGAAGGATCAGGGGATTAGCATTTAGAAAAATCACAATAATAATTAGGAAAAAGAAGCAACAAATATTGAAGCATGTAAACCTATTTAGTGTAAGAATAACTGAGTCAGGGGAAGAATAGAGGAGAGCAAGAAAAGAGATACCTTAATAGAGGGAGCCCTTATAGGTTTAAAGAGAAATCTGGCACTAGGGAAATGTCCAGGGATCCACAAAGATGACCCCAACTAAGAATCTCGGCAGTAGTGGAGAGGCTGCCTTAGATGCCCTTCTCCCATAATGACATTGATGACTTCCTTAAGTGACATCCTAGAGCCTTCATCCAGTAGCTGACTGAAGCAGAAGCGGATACCCACAGCTAAGCACTGAGCCATACTTCTAGAATCCAGTTGTAGAGAGGGAGGAGTGATAAGCAAAGGGGTCAAGACCAGGCTGATGAAACCCACAGAAACAGTGGACCTAACCAAGTAAGAGCACATGGACCCCAGTCATAAAGCTGGGGAATCAGCATTGGGCCAAACCAAGCCCTCTGAATGTGGATGCCAGCAGTTAGGAGGCTTGGGCGGTCTATGAGACCTCTGACGAGCAAGACCAGTGTTTATCCCTAGTGCACAAAGGGACTTTGGGAGCCCATTCCCCAAGGAGGAATACTCTCCCAGCCCAGATACACGGGAAGAGGGTCTAGGCCCTCCCCCAAATGATGTGACAGACTCTGATGACCCCCCCTTGGAAAGCCCCACCCACCTTGGGGATTGGATGGGGGATGAGATGGGGGTTGGTTGGGGGGCATAGGAGGCTGAGAGGGAGAGGAAACTGGGATTGATATGTAAAATGTGATCGCTTCTAAACTAACTTTAAAAAGAAGAATAACTAGGGAGGATTTCAAAGTAATAACAGTAGATTATTACAAACAGGGCTCCAGAATGCAGCACTTTTCTAGCTCACATCTCCATGCTTGGCCTCTTGGCCTTGGAAGATTTCCCTGGACAACACACCACCTGTGTGCCTGAGTAAGAGTGGCCACTACAGGCTCATGCATTGGAGTGCTGAGTCGCCAGGTAGCGGCCCCCAGATAGTAGCACCATTCGAAAGAATGAAAAGGGATACGTGTGGTCTGTTGGGAAGAAGTTGCCGCTCTCATTTTCTCTGCCGATGGGTCACGACCAAGCTCTCAGCTAGGGCTCCGGTACCGGTCTTCATGCCTTGATGATGGGAAGCAAACCCTGATCTTTCCCGAGGACACCCCACAACCTCTCAGATAGCTCAAGTCCTCCAGCATGTATCTACAAGGGGACACGTATCTCTCCACAACATGCATCTTGTTGAGATTTTATATTCTTTGATGTGATGCCTAATTAATTAGCTCTCCCACTAATACTAAAAAGCCCTAAGTGGATCATTTCCCACCTGTCAATTATCCCAGTGACCTAGGACATGCCCAGTTTACCAAAGAGTCAATAATATCGATGCACTATATCCCCTAATCCTTATGTCAGCTTTATGATTTATACACCATTACTGTCACATTTCATGTGCAAAGAAGTGGAGTTTTAAAAGAGGTTCCAGACTTCATTGTTTGAAGCTGAGAATGTGGTTCAGTGGTAGAATATTTGCCTGGTTTTATGCAAGGTCCAGTGCCCAGCATCTCAAAAAAAAAAGTTACATAAGGTAACACACCCCTATCCCTATCTCAGGAGGTATAGACAGGAGAATCAAAATGCAAAGACAGTCTGAGTTACATAGTATGCTTTGGTTAAGCTGGAATACATAGTGAAATCCTATCTCAGAAAAAGGAAGGATGGAAGGGAGGGAGGAAGGAAGGAAAGAAGAGAGAGAGGGAGAGAAGGAGGGACAGAGGGAGGGACGGAGGGAGGGAGGGAGGGACGGAGGGAGGGAGGGACAGAGGGAGGGAGGGACGGAGGGAGGGAGGGACGGAGGGAGGGAGGGACGGAGGGAGGGAGGACGGAGGGAGGGACGGAGGGAGAAACACGTCCAGCGTCACACCATTAGATTACAAAATGGTAGAGCTGAAATGTGAAAACAGGCAAGCTGATTCCCAAATCATAATCACCACCATTATTTTACCAAGAGGGAAAGCAATTCTTAAACCTACAATCGGTTGTTCTGTGACCATAACTGGTCATTTCCTCTGCCTACTTAGAAAGGAGGCATCTGTTTGGAAAGCTTCAAGATAACGAATTTAAGGTTAGGAACTACCAAATGAGATTTATACAAAATAAAACAGTCTCAAATATAGCTAGAGAGCAGTCATTTGCCACTTTGCCCAATTTTAAATGATGGAAGCTACAATTAGAAAGATGCTACAAACTGTCCCCACTGCTGTTCTAATCCCCTGTTCTCTGCATCTCACAGTAAACATGACACATTTGATCTGAGTGGATATGCATTCCCTTGTTAATGAATGTCTACACTGGCTGAGGCTTTCACTTACAATTTTGAAATTTCATAACAGTAGCACAAAACTAAATTACAAGCCAATCTGACCTACGATACCACAAAACTCAAAGGTCACCTTATTTTTAATTGCATACATTTCAACCACTGTTGCCTACAAAGGTATGTTTAAATGGCTTAAAGTGGAAGTACCAATGCAGGCGAGAAAGAGATGATTTAAAAAAGAACTTCTCCCTTTCTCCTTACGTCTGTTCAAAGAAAGTCAAGATTCTAAACTAAACAAAACCCTCAGGGAAAGGACCGGACCGGACCTGTTCACAGCGTAAGTACAAAGGACAACATTCGATGCTTGCTGATAAAAGACCCACACCACAGTTCTCCTGCGTAAATAAAACAAGCATCATGAGGAAGCAAGGCCAGAGAGAACACAGAAATACACTACAGAAAAGAGGAAGCTCCTCCTTTCCTTCCTTCCTTCCTTCCTTCCTTCCTTCCTTCCTTCCTTCCTTCCTTCCTTCCTAAAATTCCAGAGCCTGGCTTCAAGGAACATGACATAATCCCAGCACACTCTGGAATGGCAAGTCATCCCTGGCTGCAAAGCAGGTGTCCTGTTTCCAAACAATCAATTCAAACTCCGCAGGGAAACTTAACAGCACAACAAAATTCCAAATGAAATAGCAAACACTCCACCGCAGAAGAAATCGTCAGCCAGGGCTTCTCTAGGTTCTCATTCAGGAGCAGTGGGGTTGGTTAATTCCTGTCTGTCCTCAACCTAAAACACTCACAACCACCAGCCTGCTTAAGTTTTTACACAATGAGACTTTCTGCTAAGACAGTGATGGCAACAGAGTGGTTTTTCACTATTTCTATATCCTCATATATAACCAGAAACATTTCCTTTAAATATAAGGGGGGGGAACTCACAACACACTGCACAATAGGATATCTCCAAAGCTTTAAACTACAAACAAGAGGGAGAAAAAAAAACTATTAACAAGATCTTTGCAGTATCAGAGGGAGGGAGGGAGGGAGGGAGGGAGGGAGGGAGGGAGGGAGGAGGGAGGGAGGGAGGGAGGGAGGGAGGGAGGGAGGGATGGATGGGAGGAGGGGCAAAAGATGGCTGACAGAATAAAGAACAGACCCTGAAGCAGCAAACAGATACAGGAAACCACAGCCCACGGACTTGGGAATGCGAGTGAGAGCCCCTTTAGGGAAAAGGGCGGGGCTCTTTCTGAGGGCAAACCTCAACATGGTTGAAAAACTTTTGGAAGGAGACTCAGAATGCAAGTGAGCCAGGAGAAACAGAAAGATGTCCAGGCAAATCTCTACCATCACCCCCCTTCTGTTATAATGGCCGTGCGTGAGATTTGACACCAACGTTTTCTGCAGTTCACTTTTTCTTTAGTTTTTGTTTGTTTGTTGTGAATTAGAATTAGAAAACCTGAAGGTCAAGGTGGCAGGGGAGATGATAACTTCTTCATGAAGACTCAACTGGGAGAAATGGAGGGGGGGGTGTTGACACCCAGGTGGCAGTGTAAGAAGGAGAAACAAAAACTGTGAGAAATCAAAAAGGAGGGAGAGATCTGAAATTCAGCGGCAACAG